TTCTTATGGGAGCGGCCATCGCGTACACTGTCATTATATCAACGGAATGTACACCGACCAGCGACTTTTGGAACCGAGCTGTGAAACCCGAGTTAGCAGCGCACTGCAGAGAACCAAAGAAAGGATTCTATACCGTAATTTCAACTTCAAGTACGTTACTGATTTTTCGTCCTACCTGAAATCGATCCAAGCAAACCTTTATATACACTTCAATCGGTTCTTACCATCCGCTCCTTCTCCGCATATTCAAAGAGGAATGAATGGTAGAACCGGGGGGCGGTCCTTGTACTCGACTTGCTGCCCTCTCCCATCATTGTCACCTGCTAACGGCGTCCTACCCAGTCATTATCATCATCAGCGACGTGTTTTTCTCCCTCATCCCGATCACCTTCATTTTCAAAATCAATCGACCCCTCCGCGAAAAGATAGTCCTTACCATTATCATGGCCATGGGTCTTTGCGCATCAGTTGCAAGCATCGTTAGGGTGGTCAGCGGCGTCTCCGTCTTCCAAACCACCGATAATGGTTCAACCGCGCCCCTCATGGACCCCACCTGGGATAGCGTGTACCTACTGGTATGGGGCTTTGTCGAGGTCTACCTTGGAATCGTTGCCGCTTGCGTGCCGTGTCTCAAGGCATTCTTTGAACGTGCCCTGAGACGTGTCGGTATCACCGTCAACGACAGCAGCAGAGCCAGCGAGACCCATCCAAGTCAATGGACCGCGATGCGGCGGAGCGCTTATAACATGAAATCGGAGATTCCAAGGTCGAAGGGTACTTGGCCAGGTCATACCAGCGATTGTTACCCAGGAACCTACGACAACAGCGAATACGAATTAATTGAGTCCGGCCGAGTTGTTCTGAAGCAAACGGACTCAGAGATTCGCTCGGCATTCGTGAAATCTTGAGTTGCTATAACACTTTGTTCTTCCTTCCCCTTTTTCTCCTTTTAGATTTACACAGCGGATACGCTGTGTCTATCATCCTCCAAGGCAGATTCATATAAAAAGTCGGATACCCCAGAGTTCAAACAGCATACGGAGTCAGGAATTAGTGGAGTGCTGTATATGATAAGCATTCCGAGCTCATGGTCCTGGGAGTATGGCATCCGATTCAGCGTAGCGAAACGAATCCCAAGATGGGAAATATGATTGTACATAATACTACCGCTCCTACATTGGAGCATGACCGGCCAACGTTAGAAGCTGCACAAGCCAATGCAGAATTGTCTTTCAAGTCAAAAAATAGCCTGATATGTATTACGATCTCCTAGTTCTCTGCCTATAGATGGTCACTACCTTGATATATAGACTTGAACAACCGTGTGTTCATACTCAAAGAATTTAGAACGATACCATAGTCATAAATAAAGGCTTCAAGGCCACGAGGCGTCGAGGGTTGCGTGTGGAACAGCACGGGCATTGAGAACGTGTCCCACTCAGGGTCATTTGTCCTACCTGAAAACAAATGCGCTGATATTGGGGTGAGGACCAGAAAACTTCGCACCTTTAAGTGTATCCTGTCTTTCCTCCTTTTCTCTCTTTTTTTGTAGGTTTGGATATCACGAATGAAACCGTCACGAGATACTCTTATTTCGTAGGATTCGCCTTCGTTACAAATATATACAACAAAAGTTCTTTAAGTTAGAAATGTCTTTCCGGCTGTCAAGGGCCCAAACCACGAAGGATTTGGTAAGCTGGTAACGCTGTTGAATTGCTAAAGAGAGAAGGAGAAGATCTCTCTCACTGCGATCTGCTATTTACATCTGTGGGCAAACGGTCTACCCATCCAGCAGGGCGCAGGGGGCTACTAAAATATCTGGTAATCAACCGATGATTACGCTAATCCGGTTTTGGACGGTTAATTCACACATAACAGGCGGAATTCCAGACGTTTTGCCTTGTAACTGATGAATCTAATCTACAGTCTCTATGCGGTTTCTCTATTAAACGTTACTAAATTTCCCAACGTCTATTCTAATCTACCGGTCTATCTACGGTTAGATATATCAGCGGTTTAGAATTCAATCGGGAAATTTCCTCGATCGTTTTGCTTAATTAACGGTTGGTTAGCGGTTGGTTAACGGTTAGTTAACGGTTTGGTAGGCAAAACGTCGGCTAAGATTCGGCTTAGCTTTGGGGGTTCCTATCAATCCGGCTCCTACCATAACTCTAAGATGCTCTCCTGGACCTAATCATACGGGTAGACACGTCATAAATGAGATGAGCTTCTTATATAAGACTCAGATGACCTATAACCACTCTTAAACTCGATATTTGAGATGGCTAACACTGCTGCTGGCATAGACCCGGCGCTGTCCGGCTCCCATGCTGGAGCGGAAGATGATGAACCAGGTCTTCCAGTATGCTCCGCGCACTGCCTTTCTCATATAAATTATATAGGAAGTCCAGTCTCTGACGCATTAAGTAGCCCGAGGATTTCCAATCCTACCTCCGTAACCCGAAGAAACGGGTACGAGCGAAGCGCCATCACCACGCCGAAGCCGTCAGTGAGGACAATGCTCGCGTTGCGAAGCTGTCCAGATCAACGAGGTGGAACCATTTCTTTTTCCACTGCTGTTTTAAGGAAAACAAATTGATCCAGAATGTATACGGATCTGTGACGGCGGACGACGTCGAGTGGCGAGAAGCGCATGACTTTATTCATGCCTGGTCCAAAGGCTTCAATTTGAGACTATCAGGAACATGAAGGCTAGCTATACGTCTTACTATGTTGTTCTTTTGCTAATTTCGCGTAGAGTTACGTTAAACGGCTCATCGAAGAGGATACAGTCGCTGCATCAATTGCAGTAGATAAATTTACCAAATTTATCGAGTCGGAGTCGGTTTTTTCGTCCGTTAACTTCTTTAACGTTTTCGGCTACATGCATGAATACCTAGATTACGACGGGTCTTCCACTTCTGGGAAGTGGTATTGCAGGAGCAAGTTTCCCCTATTCCCCCTAGTTCTCTAGTTCTCCGCCTATTTCTCCTATTTCTCCTATTTCTCCTATTTCTCTTGCTTTTCCTACTAGCTCTCTTAGTTCTCCTAGCTTTGAAGCTCGCTAACTGTAATAGGCGTGTTTGCGAATCTTGCGGGTGAGGTGCGCCGGTGGATTGAGGATGGCAAAGATGAGAATGCCAGGCAGCGGCTGCTGCAATTTTACGACGAGATGGTTGCTTATGAAGCATATACGCCATATAAGCGTAAAGACCTCTTTAAAGAGGCATTTGTAAGGACCGTGAGGTCTAAGAAGGCGAAGACTCCGAGAGACATGACAGTCTCTCATAGCAGGATGGTCGTTTCGGCGCCTCCTCCCTTCCCCTCCCTCCCCTCCCCTACTAGTAGTTCTGGTGGTGCTCACACCGGTGAGAGTCTCTTCATTTAGTTTTTTCTCTTTATTCTCAGTCATATTGTAGTTATTGCTAGTTCTGCTCTTTTTCTTACTGTAATTCTATGCTCGGATCTGGTTCTTTCTGCTCTGGTTTTATCGTATTTTGCCCTATCCTTGCTATTGATTAAATCGATCGCCTTTTGGCTATATATGCTTGCCCATTCGCCCAGACGATTACCCCTTATTCGCTATACGCACTGGCTCGCAGAGTATTAGTAATAGGTTTAATTTCGACTCTCAGACGCTCGCTGGGAGCTTCCAGTTTGAGCTATATCTGCAGTCTATATCATCGGGATATCATGCTCTCTTCCCACGTCGAGATATCTTTACACTAACTCTTCGAGATCACTCTAGCGTTCAGTATTGCAATCCTATCTGTATTATGCTACATATGGTACTAGAATCGCTATAGAATAGAATCGAATCTCTATTGTGTAAATTTCGCGAAGTCCACGCGTTTGTGCGTATCGCACCTTCCATCGCCACTCACACTTTCCGTTCTTACCTAGGCACCGTACAATATCGAAATTCAACGTCAATCACCTCACCCCATCAGATCTAATGGTCGCTCAATACCTCTACTCTTTACTATATACATCGGATTTTCCTCTATTCCAGCCTCTCATCGATTACGGCCATTATGGTGAAATCATACCGACAATCTGGGCGAATCACTGCTATTCGCCGTCACATAGAAGCTCAGTACGAGGCTATAACGCGGGCGCAGCAAGAGGCTCAGCAGCTCGCAGGACAACTCGTGGAGGAAGTTGACGATGATACTAAACTATCAGATACTATTGGTAGTATAGAGCCATCGTCTAAGCGTCCAATGCTTGATGATAGCGACGAGGATGATATGGGAATGTTATTCGAAGTAGGTCCTATCACCTTTTACCTGTTTTATGTTAATAGAGTACAAACTCCTTATAGGATGCCACTGAAGAAGACCTTAGGTTTAATAGCTTCGAAGCCATACTCGGGGGTACGCAGGCCATGCTAGCAAGCGAGCTTAATGAGACGATGCCTACCCTGGATGACCGTCGTGAACTTGCTGAATACCAGTTCCCGGCAGAGGATATCGAGGATTTAACGCCTGTTGCTAACGATATCGAATCCGATGAAGAGACCGCTACTATTAGTAGTCAGACGGTGGCTACCACGGAGACAAGTCAAGTTACCCAAGAAGCTCCTCACCCCTTCGCCGCCAACTCCAAGTATTTTATTCCTTCAGATACCTCTCTACCTCTGCCACGCAGGATTGCCACCCAGCCAATGACTGACTTCGCCCTTGCAATGGGCACATGGGTACAGCAGTACGGTGTCCCTCGGTCCCAGTATAAGGCGCTCGTTGAGGTTCTGAACCTTACTAGCAATAAAGAGATCAGCAAGCTCCCTAAAAGGGTTGATACTGTGACAGTCTTGGGCTTTGCCCAGTCTGTGTGTTGTGGCCTTGCGGCCTAAGGCAGAAGGGATGGGTAGACCGTTTGCCCACAGATGTAAATAGCAGATCGCAGTGAGAGAGATCTTCTCCTTCTCTCTTTAGCAATTCAACAGCGTTACCAGCTTACCAAATCCTTCGTGGTTTGGGCCCTTGACAGCAAGTATAGTAATCCACTCGCGATTTCCATCGGTCGTAGCTGCCAAGCTCTTATTTTGCCTCATAACCTCTTTTGTGATGATACGTTTCATCTTGGTCATCATCCCGATTAGGAAACCCTTCTCATCCATGTTGTACATGTTCTCCGGTATGATCTCATATTCCGCAATTTTTACGCGTAGCAACTCGTAGAAATCATAATAGTCCTTCGCCTTATCTGCACGAGTCCTGGAGCTCTCGATAATACCAAGATATTTGGCGTCGAGTATGGCGGCGTGTCGCTCCACGAATCGGCCCACCCAATTCTTGCCCACCTCCTGTTTTGCGATATCCGACGCGAAATTCCATACCATCGCAGAGGTAGGAGGAAACCCACGCCTACAGAGGTCGTTTATATAGGCGATTAGCCTAGATTCTTGGTGGGCGCTCAATTTGCCCTGTTGTTCGTAGGCTTCATGCCTGGAGGTAGTGACTTTCCGATGGCGTCTCGACAAAGTAGAACGATTGACTTTAAACTTCTTTGCTGTCGCGGTATAATTGGGCTTTTCTTCTAAGGCTAACGCAGCAAGAGCTGCCTCAATTGGATCCATTTTGGCAAAGTTATTATAATTCTAACGTTCGAGTGTGCTGATATCAAATCGTGCATGAGGTGGGACCGTGCACGCCACCGGGAAGACCTCTAAAGGCCGGGTGGATGTCTGGCGCGACTATCGCCGGAGGGTTTCAGTTTTCCGAATCGGATGACTCGGGGTAGTCGTCCACTCGGGGCTTCGGGTGAGGAGCCTTCTGCCCCGTGTCGTACGCGAGGACGTTCTCGGTCATCTTAGTAGGTTTCTGTCCCTTGCACGGAGCGTCGTCTGCGTTAGCCATATGACCTGGCTTAAGGCAAACGAAACATCTGCGTTCAGCCTTTAATTCCTCTCGTTGGAATTTAGTCCGGCCGTAAGGCCAGTACAAGTTACTGTTGCCGTAGATATGGCCGTTGCTATGGCTGCTGCTATGGCCGTTGCTGTAGCCATTGCTGTGGCTGCTGCCGCTGCTGGACCTCTTGTGGTGGCCGTTCTTGTAGCCATTTCCGTTGCTGTTGCCGTTGCTATGGCCATTGCTGTAGCTTTTACGACCTCTGCTCCCACCGCGTGGTGAGTCAGAGACGCGTTGGCGTCCTCCGTAGTTGCGAGCATCGGTGGTATTCTCTTCCGTTATACGGCACGCGTCGACGAAGTCGTTGAAGTTTTTAGTATGGCAGTTGGCCATGTCGAATTTCATTCCTCGCTTTAGGCATTCGCGGAGATAGGCGATCTTATCCTCGTCGGTAAGATGT